TGAACAATTAATCACATGAGGGCAATTATAGCTGGAGGGAATAAGGAGAGTCTTGGGGCATTTATAGCTATGTCAGGTATGCATAAGAAGAGTTTTTGGGCATTTATAACTAGGCCAGCTGGGCATTTATAGAGGGAGTCAGTTATGCTATCAGTAGAGTATAAGAAGGGGCTTTGGGGGATGGGGGTGGTATGTTTTCTTTGGGAGAGCCGGCGGTCTCTCGAAGAACCGACCAACTGTTAATGTTTTCTGCTGAATGAATACTAGTTTCTTTTGTTGATGTTCGAGTGTGTGAATGCTGCTGTAAGTCTGTGAATTGCGTGTCAAATTTCTGGGTCATATCAACACCCTGTTTCTCTTAACAAGTTTCCTGTAGGTCTCGACATCATTAGTGGTGTCCCAGGCTACAGCTTCTATCAAATCAATTTCTTGCCATAAAGACTTCAGTATTGAGAAATACACAACTAATGGTTTCTCCCCCTGTCTCAAATTCTTCACATCACTTCTCAACTTGTAAACCCTGGTCACATTTAATTTATGGGAATAGGTTTCAACAACACTATCCCAAATTTCCTTTGCTGAATTCATCCACAAATAGTGCTGACTAATATGCGGTTGCATTGAGTTTACAAGCCATCCAATAACAGTATAATTTTCTTGCATTCATTTTTCATATGATGGATCATCTTCCGAAGGAGCCTTCTTGCTCCCGGAGATAAAACCCCATTTGCCTCTATTGTAGATATGAATTTTTACTGATTGTGATCAAGCCAGATAATTGGTTTCATCCAGCTTGGTTGTGGTCACAGCTAGTAGAGAGTCTACAGAGGATCCCGAAACCTGTCTGGATTCAGCAACATGCTTGTTTTCAACTTCTGAAGGGTTCATCTTCTTAAATACTTTGAAAATGACTTTTCACAACTTCAAATAACAACAAATGAGACATAACAAAAACTGTGTTGTGAGCCAACCTCTGTGCAGCCGTACTAGCTACCTGTGTCACACCCGGAAGCCGGGAGAAACAGAGAAATTTCAGCCGTTCCTTGTAGATTTCACAGAACACCAATCCACTTGGTTCGATCTTCAAGATGAAGGATGAGAAGACCTTCAGTCACTGAGCGCCCGGGTCAAACACCCTGTGGGGCCCGCAATCAGATTTCTCYAGAAAATTAGGGTTTCGGGCAACACACTTGAAGCTGTCAGGAGGACGACAAAACCAGTCCCCTTCTCTCTAGAAACCACTAACAACTGGGCTGAAATAGGTTTCTTTTAACTATTCATACGATTCAGTTCTCCATACACTGCTTATGGGAAAAAAGAGGTGAAAAGAGGGAAAAGTCGAGCCTTCTCTGATACCAAGAAGAAAAACAGCCTTTTGAAAAGAAAGGACTGTTTAAAAAGTTGCAGAAAATCAAAAGAAAGTAGCAAAAATCAGGTTTCAAGAAGAGAGAAGAAGAAGAAGGTGGCGGCAACTAGGGTTCAGAGAGAGATTTTCGAACATAACCTTCTCTCTTACACCCCTAATTCCATTTCATTAAGTTAAACTTTAATAATTTACAGAGAGGCCCCTAGTTGGGCAGAAAATTAAAAACATAACACAAGAAAGAATAAAGCCCAGATTAAGGCCCATTACAGCAAAGAACATAAAAAATAAAGAAGGATAAACAGCCTATGGGCCATTCATCCGATCTTCTCTACAATCACCAAGCACATAAAGCTGTCCAGTTCACACACCAAGAAAATATGCATAAAGAAAACTGATTACAGCCAATTGAAACATGCCACATCTATCATCAATCAGAATCCCTCTTGGTAGCTACCAAATAGAGGGGAAAATTAAACCATCACATCACCACCAAATCTGTCTTACATGGTGACTAACTAACCAAATGAGGGACTTATTGCAGCCTTCTTCAGAGAAGATTACAGTCCTTTAATGCGCTGATTCCATGCAATAATGGTTCATATCTATTCTGCCCAGAAGTTGAAGTAGAAGACAGCTACATTGGAGTGTTTTCCAAGAAGAAAAGAAGCAGAAGAAGAAAAAGGAGAAGATGGGAGAAAGAATGTTTGACTGGAGAGAAGAATATCTCTCCACTTCCCCAGTCCAGTCAGCCAATATTTATACATTACTAAAAGCAAATACAATGACAACTATGCACCTAATTAAGTATGGGCCACACAACTTAAAAAGGAGAAAAAAAGACTAATGACACTGTAATAAATAAAAAGGAAAAGACTAAAACGCCCTTAATGGGTTGGCTGTTAACAAGATAAAATGACTAGTTTTTTGTGACAGGTAATATTTTACTAATTACATATGTTTCTTGCTACTTATAGGTTATATTTTGGCTTCGTGCTCTTACTTGTCCTGTTGATTCCTCTGGAAGTAATGACAAGGGTCAATACGGTAACAATCTTATGTATAAACGGAGATTTGATCTGGGAATTGCCTTTCTTTTTCTTGTTCCTGGATTCCATGCTGGTCCATTGACAGAAAATCTGTTTCGTGATTGTGTCCATTTTTTTCTTGGATCTGCTATATCTAATCTGGTGTCTCATGAACAAAGATCAGTAATTGCTGTATGGCTTGTTGTTCAACTCCTATTGCAGTGCTATGATCAAGTTTGCAAGGTATTATGCATAACATTATCTTAATGTTCTTTTTAATTTTTGTTGCTAATGCTGCTATGGTTATTGTTGTTGTTTTTATTGTTAGCATAGCTGTTTTTCTTCTTGTTAAGGAATCCACCAATTAGTGGACAGATATTGGTTACCTGGCATTGTTTCAGATTCCACTTTGCCAAAGCACAATTTTGTACACACATGCATATTAGTGCCTGTCTTTTCAAAGCATAACTTGTGATATATTCACTAAGGGCATGCCCCCTTATAAAAAATGGGATGTTTTCTAATCACAACTCGATTATATAAATCATGAGTAAAGTAATGCTTTGATGTGCCAAATGCAGATACTCTGCTCTTTGAACTAGGGTGATCAGGGGCCAGACTTAGCACTATAATAAGGGTCAGCCTGAGCACCTGAGCCTGGCTTCTGGGCCTACAACCTTAAATATATTATATGTAATATATCAAATGTACCATATCATAATATATAATATATAATATATAATATATTAAGCTGCAAAACTGTGCCTGGGCCCTGGATGGACTTGGACACAAAATGTAGGCCCAAGCCCAGTAATTTGCAGGCTGTGCCAAGCTAGAAATGATTACCCCTAGCATGAACTGTATCTGTTACTTTGTCAGATTTATGCTTAATGTGATGGGATTTTCTGGCAATGACTTCATTTTATCATATGCAGTTTAAATAGAGTAATGAACTTCTCCTTTTAATTTCTGTCTTTAATATTTCATAAGATTCTTGATTGGTATAGATTGAAAATTAAAGCCTACTGTTTATTTGGTGCCTCCATAAGCCCAGATACACTTTTAGAGAAAAAAAATAAAAAGGTTACTACCTATTTAAGTACACATGGTATTTGCTTATTCAAGTTAGGTTGCTGAAGATTTTACTTGGTTGCCTGATTAGTATTGCAGCAAAGCCATTGGGATGAATATAAGAATTGCCAGTATGTGTTGGGAAGATATTTGTTGTGTTGCCAATGAGACTGGAATAATATCAGATGCCAAAAGTGTAATTGAAGCTGCAAGTTCTCTCCAACCCACTGGTCCTATCTGTAGTAGGTTGATGCCAATTCCTCTTCATTTTGTTCTTTCCTTTGGTTTGCTTTATTACTCTAGCTGTGTATTGGTTCCTCAACTTTGTTCTAGTGCATGTGATTTCTTGCTATCCATGTTCTTTTACATCTGCATCTGTCAAAGGATTATAAAAATGTGCCTTGAGATGACTAAAGATCACAAAGAGAGCCTGTGGTTTGCACTTCGCAATTAAGATTACTGGATGGTAATAAGTACATTGACATGGAGATGGAGATGCGGTTCTCTATTTCCTACAAATATAGGGCATGAATTTCTCAGAAATGTTTGGGGAACTCCATGACTGGGGGGAAATTTGTACAGAAGTGGAAATGTATATATAACTTGGGTGGCAGCCATGAGCTGTTTTTTTTACTGGATACATATGTGTAAGATACTATACATATTTGTAAGATATTATGCCAAATATACAAGATATTATACTATATGGAGCCTAGGGCTTGCATGGACCGGGCCATCCAGGCTAGGCCATAAATGACCATCCCTACTTGAAACTGTTTTATAAAGTTTTCCTTGAGTGGTAGTTTCCTATCACACAAGACTTTGGATGCACTCCTCCATTTTGCCTATCCTGCTCTAATTCTATGGATGACATCCTCCTCAATTCTTCCCTTGTATGTAGGGGTGTATAAAATGATGGTTTTATAATTGAACCTGATGGTAGGAATAAAAAGAACCCAGATCATAGTTGGGCTATACAGTTGATTATCAAAGCTCTTCACTTAGCCTACTCTGCCTTTTTTGGCACTTGAGTAATATAGGTTTGCCTGAATTTTATATCTTATAGTACATAGATGAAAAGTTGTCCAATATCTGTTTTTGATGAGAATGCTTCTGAGCCTCCCTCTGCCTTCTTTTGTAAGTATAAGGACATCTAATATCATATAAGGACATCTAATATTTGTTTTAGGAAAATAAATACTTCTTTGAGGATCATGGTTAATACAGGACTCTCATTTTTTTTTCAGTAAAAAGAGCAAATTTGTTAATAAAAGAAAGGTGTCTTTACAACATTTGAGTAGCCTCGGCTACCCCTTACAGCAGAAAAAGAAAAAACCCCAGTGGCTTTGCTCTTCAAGGTTACAGCTGTGCCCAAAAAACTTGAACACCGTTTACACCTTGGTTTGCTAACTGATCGGCTAGATTGTTGGCTGACCTTGGAACCCAATAAATTAATAGCTGCATGTCTTTTGACAATTTTCTAATTTTTTTATCTCATTTCTGAACCACCATGGGTGCTGTTCTTCTTTTCTCAGCCAGCTTAGAATCACTTTGGAATCACCTTCAATTATCAGCTTCTAAATACCTGACTCCACAACTTTCTGTAAACCAAACATCACAACCTTCAGCTCTGCTCTTGTGTAGTCTCCTTACAGGATTATGCAATCATCTGTATCATATCTTTAGTGGTATTTAAATTGTTTATAAGTTATAAATGAGCAATCATCTGTCAGATTTTACAGAATTTACATTCCACTTAAAAATCTTGATGTTGTAGAAATAATGACTTTAGATTCATCAATCATCACTATTTTTTTTTTAATTTTCTTGACACCCTAAGTGTTTTACTTTCCAATATATTTTGGAGACTAAGGCCCTACTGGATACAGTAATTTGTAAACTATCACCGACTCTATTCATGGAAAACCTTACAAACTTGAGTATGTTTTTTGATGAAGAACTTTTTCATCACAGTCTGTCCAACTAATATGACTTTATGCTTTCTATATTGTTGCACCAAAAATTTATTTATGTCACAGAAAATGTGTCTTCATATTGGATGAACAGCTCTGAAACTATACCTTGGAATAGTAATACCCGAGTAGTTCATTTTTTAAATTATTTCGCATGCTAAAACTCTGTTTCCTTAAGTTACAATGTCAGATGCTCTTCTCTGTACAGGAGCGATCAGTTGGAGCTTGAATGCTTATTTCAACTTCTCAAATCAGGTCACTTTATTCGCTTCAGGGTTGACATAACTGAATCCATTATGCAATGCATTCTTTTCTCTGTGGAGCCTATTCATCCAGTATGTTGTTCTTTTCACATAAATATTTTATTTTTGCTCTCGGGAAAGTTTAGATATATTAAAGTCTCAGAAGATTGAGGATTATTTTCTTTCACAGGAATTTCTTCATCATCTTTACCTTATACCAAGTTACCAACCATTTAGGGCTCGCCTTGTTAAGACAAGTGGAACAGATGGTTGTATTCCTTTGAGTTTGTCGATTTAATAAACCTTTTGGTTTGGTTACCTATGATACATACATACATGTTCTATTAGATGATGAATTTAACAGAATATGGTGGGGTCTTCTATTAGATGACAAATCTTCTAGGTTATCCTATTACTTCAAGTCTTCAAGCTCCTAGGTGCTGTAATCAGTCCCCTTTGTTTGATCCATGTGCTATCATTGGTCTGCATTGCACATGAAATGTAAAAAGAAAATTCTCAGTTGATCTTTCTTTGATTTTGTCTTCTGTTGGGGTTCCTAAGATCCCTTGAGTGCATATATATTTTTGTTAGGTTTCCACTTATCCATCTCAAGTTCTCAACATCCTCAACTTAGCTGAGCTCATCATTTGAAAATCTCGTGTCCTCTCTTGCAGTGATGCCTTGATGAATTGCTGTTTCACATTTTCTCTGTCTGCTTACTTTTGAAGCCCATAGATTTTAAGTGCCTTACCATAGTTCTAGCTTTACAATTACACACTCCTTCAACTCCAAACAACGACACTGCAGTAGTAAGGTTCCCAAATTCCAAGAATATCTTCTATTGTTAACTTTACTTTTCATTAGTGTCTCCCAATATTACTTTTGTTTTGGTTGAGGTCTTGACAAGTTTCCTCAAGAGTTTGTCATAAAATTCATTACAATGAAATGACATCAAATTATAACATAGAAATTATGTTTCATTCTTTTATATATATATTGATGTTCTGGAGTCTTGACAATCAATGAACATGAATTCTTGTGAATGCAGATGTTAGTAGAAGTGATAGAGATTTTTGCTGAAGCTTCTTGTACTTCAGCCTCTGTAAATTCATCAGATACATATAAGATGAAACCTCTCCCTTGTAACTTCGTGGCCGCTGCTATCAAGCCATTTTCTTCATGTTCCATGCTTTTTGATCCAACACTTATGGAGATCACAGTAGGATATTCTTGTGAATCAACTGGTGGAAGAAATTATTTCTCAGATTTTGTCAGAACTAAATCAGCTGCCCCTTCTATATTGGCTTCTTTTTATGTACTTTGTAGGGGGCATTTTCTCCAGAGCCAAGGGCACTTCCTGGGAGATTCTTGGTACAATCTAAACAATAGAAGTGATGAGGAGATCTCATGGTTGAGGCTTCTGAGATTTTTACCTGTAGACAAATTACTTGCATATATGGAATCTCACTCTCATTCTTGTGAGCATATATATCCTCGGGTTGGCATTTTACATCCTCTTCTTTTACTAGATAACCTTAAGTAAATATTTTTCTTGTAATGTCCACTTTTCTTGTTCTTTTTCTGTACCTTGGTCATTTGAAGTTGTTGAAAGCTTGCACATATCATCACCTTGAACATTATTTCAATGGACAAGATACATTTTCTCATCTTTCAAACAACTTCTCTTCTATTTCAGTGGGTTGGTCTTGCAATATCCATCTTTCCAGAACGTTTCCGTGTTGCTCATATGGCTCAAATATTGGAAGCGCCAGAAGGAGATCTTCTTTGTAAACAGGAGTTTTATCAGTTAGAAGGAAAAACACATGTGCATGACAATATTCTTTCCCAAGTTTTTCAGAATGGGGAAAATAACTGCAAGGTTAGTTCTTTTGATGAGAATTCCTCAATTAGGTTTGCACGGGAGATCTTCAGGAATTCTTTTGCAGATCCTGTTCCCACTATTAAACTTCTCAAGGCAATTCGCATGGGCAATTTCTCTGGCGAAAAAAAACTTGAGTTGCATGTAGCAGTTGTGGAATGCATGGTTCCGTTGCTTCTAGAAAAGTTTTGTTCAGACTTGCTCTATGAGGCCTTTTGTGATTGGTGGTATAGTCTGGACCAAGTTAATATTGAACACCTTATACCATTTTTCTGTCGCCATATAACAGTTTCAGCCATGAACATTGATGAAGGAAGCTTGACACAAATACAGAGTATTGGAACTACTAGTGCTGATGAGTTATTATCAGCATCAAATTTATATCATCAGCTCATTGAACAACCTCTGTCTATACTTGCATGTAGAACAGAAATATATCACACTCCTCTTTTATCAATCCTTTTAGATATTCTGATGCAACTTTTAGTTAGAAACAGAAGGATGTGCCTTATTGCTTCAATGAGTGATGGAGAAAGGAAGAAACAAGAAACCTTGAGAGCCCTTGATACTCGAGATAGGTATGTCAGATTATATCTGTAGCCACACGAAAAGCATGTGATTGATGCACATCCTTTTTCTTGGTTTCTACATCACAGTTATACTTAATAAGAAAACTAGGCAATTGATGGCTGGACAGTTGGATGTATATGTAAGGCATGCAAGGGGTCAGTTCAATTTGATGGTTCTTATTGAACATTTTCTGCTGGGTTATTTGACAACTGCTAAGATAGGTGCTGAAAGTAGAATGCTAAAATATTCCAAACTTGAAAAATCCAGGGATATTGTTGGTATATGGTAAAAATTTTAGGGGTAGCATAATCACCACAATAACTGTGCTTCATAATTTTGCAGTTAAGTAGGTCTTGGTATCAAATGCTGAATGACACATTTTTCAAAAATTTCAGCATTCTACTTTCAGCACCAGCAGTTATACCTCCTGTCATAGTTGGTAAATAGCTATTTTCTTGCACTCTTTTCTGGACCATTTTCTAAAGTGATTGGATTATTATTGTCATCCAATTGGGCTGATTTTGGCGTTAATCCCTTGGATGCATCCTCTCAATTCTGGCCTACCTTCTTTCATGTGAATTGTGTCCATGACATATTAGAATTGACTGCTGTTTTGCTCTACTCAAAAGGTGCTTCAGATTTTGACTTGTATTTGGTAGTGCAATCTGTCAGGTATTACTTGAGAATTGGTCAAAGATGTCTTCTCTCGATATCACTACAGTTTCGGTACTTAAGACAGGGTCACTTATCTGTGGGTTCATTTCGTCATTGTTTTATTCAAGTCCTTTCATTTTCCGGGTTGTCCATTTCCAGGTAATCATTCTTAACTTGGTTGCTTGATTTCAATGTGACATCTTTCTTGAATTTTAGTTCTTAAAACTACACATTGCTGCTTGAGCAAATGTATATACCTTTGTGTTCCTGAAATTGTGAGTTGTTGTCTGAATCAGAAAATGTAATGTGTTGGTACTTTTCTTTAAACTATGCATATTTTTGCTTTGTTCTTACCAGTTCCACTACAGGAAGCATTGGTTTGCTTTTAAAATTCTTCTGTGTTATTTCTGATTTTCAATATGACATTCTTCATTATTTTTTGTTTAGTTAATTCTTCTCACGTTTAATTAATTTGTTGGCTATATACTTTTACATCAAGTAGTGTCACATGAATAGCTAAATACTTTCATTTCTAGCTTTTGCAGTTTCTATTTATGCATAACCGTTTTGTAATGCCAATCGGTTATTGAATTTTTATGTACATTTTAGTGTTATTTTATCACGTGCCTGGGACTTCCCTTTGTTGAATTTGATCTTTTGCTCCAATTTGAAACCTTCTAAACTCTGATTCAATGTTGTCATTTCTTACTCTTCAGTCTTCACCTAACCATGTTCCATTACAATGATCTAGAGCTTTTCTAATAAGTTGATTGAGATCAGTATTGAAGCCTACTGCAATTATGAATATGGGCTTTGACATATTTTAAAGATAAAATTCAGCCATACTCATCACTGGTGTAAATATAACCTCTATATAACAAATTAAATAATTGAAGTTCTAAACACCACATTTTACAGTCTTTACCATGATCCACTGTATGAAAATCAAATGAACTCCATTTTGTGATGCCTATTTATGCAATCACATATACCCACCAAACGATGGTGAATAAAAGTAAGTGTTTATTCTTTCCATTTGTCATCCTAATATGTTTTGGTTACTATACATAAGTTATGCTTTAAAATATCATTAAAATCTATGCCATTGCTGTAACAAAACCATAAAATTTGTGGATATGGATCCTTCTGATCTTATATATTCTCCAGATGAACCAGATCCCTGACTATATGGAGTCAGCCACATGAATCCTGCTTTTCCATTTCATTCTGTTCAGTGCCATATAGGATGGCCCTTGCAAGCTAGCAAAAAAGTCTATTATTCTTTTAGTTTCTTTCAGATCATAATTTACATCAAGTTTCAAATAAGTTCCTAAATGTATCAATTTATTTACAGGTTATCCTCTAACGTCCTGCATTCTGAAACCCTCATCAACATGTAGTGGGTGATGGGAGAAGAATCATTGACAACCACAAGCCTTTGAATTCCAAGCTATACGTGGTTGTTGTAGGCAGAATGCAAATATCTCCCCATGTTTCACACTGCATTGATTTGTTGGCTTGTTTTTACATTTCTCATCACTTCCATTGGTACTCGATTTGTGTTATTGCTTCACTCTGTAGCTTGAGGAAGCATTTTATACTGTCCATTGTATTAGACTGATGTTGATAATGACAATTTACTTGTCCTGCTATTTAGGATCTCCTTGTCAATTTTATTTATGATATGGATTTCCAACGTCATTCTTTGTATGAATTTGCTACTTCGGAAAATAATGATGTTTGGGATGCTATCCACTCTTTTGGTGTCTCTGTATTCAAGTTTGTATTTTTTTTTATATATACTTTTATAATACCTAACAACTTCATGTTGGATGCCAGGGGTATGAGATGAAGTTGATACCTTCTGTGGTTAAAGGTGTTAACTTGATTATTCACTTTCTTGAATTCTTTGAAGATTCTCCCAAATTTTTTGAGTTGTCAGTGCTTCCTTTCACAGTCATCCTTCTCTCAAATATAATCAGAAAGTATCCTAATCATTCTCGAAGTTTATCTGCTGCTCGAAAGGTACTTTTATTTGATACAAATGGATATTATAAAATCTGTTACTACCATATCTCAGGATTTCTTTGAGGTACCATTATGTCATTTTTACATGTGTATCAACTTTATGCATGGTAACTTTTCATGATTATATTGCTAGAAGAAAATATTTGATGTTGTTTCTGGTTGTAATTGACCCATCAAATTGTGTTGATGAAAATAACTATGTTGCAGCTTAAACAGTTAAACTATTGCTAGAAACTTGTTTTGTGGTTGGTGCACTTTGAACAGAAGTTCAATTTGATATAAGGAACAACAGTAACTATTATTTTTTCTGATGAGGCAATCAGTGGACTACATTCCAATGCACGTGGAAGTTCAGATGTTTATACTCTTCTCTTTGTAGAAACTTCAAATATGTTGACAAGCGAGAATAACTCTGGGCTCTGCCTTACCATATTCTCTGTTGTGTTATAACTCAGGCTGTAATGCACATCAGATGCATCAATTTGGAGGTGGCTATCAGCTTCTTGGAAGGGATCTTAGAGCCTCTGGCATGGTTTGCCATTACATTCCCATCATTAGAGCAGGAAGTAAGAGAAGTCCTAGAAGGCTATTTGATCACGATGGGTTCAGGTAAAATCTCTCCTGGAGTTAATTTTGAAGGATTCCATTCTTCTGTGGTCTCAGCTCTTGATCTACTTCCAAAAGGTGGTTGACATAGCATAAGGTTTTCACAGTTATGCCCTAATCACACTTGGCTATGAGCTAATGCTTTTCCATCATATTTTCATATTTTTTGCATTCAAAATGGTTCTCGGAATTACCTATGTTCCGAAGTCCCAAGGTATGGATAGGACTCAGTTAAAAACTTTCTCAAATTTTTCTGAGAAAATATTGTAAATATATAGTTTCATGCACCAATACGGACCCTCCAAAGGAAATCCAAATGTGCATTCCATCCCCATGAGAAAGCAATACTATGTTCGGCAAAGGAACTACATTGCTATTATACATCTTGTGAAGTTTGTGCTAGGTGTAGTCAGGGGCTAAGCAGAATGGCTAAGACTCAATTGTTTGGTGCAAATTCATGCATACCCGGGCAAGCACTTGGTATAGGGTGCGACCCACCATGAACAGTCATGTGGCTACATCCAGACTTTGAACAGGGTTGAACCTTTCAAATGTTAGGTTACCTCTTTGATTTACATTGCCCACAAAAAATAACAATGGCTATTAGTTTAAACTTAATGAGCTAAAGGTACTGCTGTACCATCCATACATGATCAAAATCGCCTCCATTTTCGATTTGAGGGTTCTAGGCATCTCAAGTAAATGTCAAATGTTTTCATGTTTCATAGCTTCAGTTACAAAATGGAAAGACTTGTATGATAGCCCCACAGATGAGATGCAATTAGCCTTGTCAGTTGGGTATTCTATTCATCCAAGTTCTTTAATTGTTGACTTCATGGCTAATGCTGAAGAACAATACATAGAAGAATCGCATTGATAAGATGAGAAAAACTTGATTTGACCATCCTGCCCTTGAGCATCATCCTCTTATTGAGGGAGACTGGCTAATCTTTCTTGGGTTTGGGTTACTACTTGCACAAATGAAATGTCAGCGGAGTTGCGTTGAGCATTCTCCAACCGATACTTGGCCTCTGTTTGGGATGACTATTGGTACCACAAACTGCTTTTAATAGATACATTGGTAAACCAACTTTCATTAAAGAGGGCAAACAGATTCAAAGAGTAACATCCATACTAAAAAGATTAAGATGGCGTTTGATAACATTTTTTCAGACCTCTGAAGTCTGAAAACATTTGTTTTTCAGACCTCGAGCACCATTCAATTTCTCTACTTGACGCAGCGGCGGTGAGCTTCCTCCTCCGGTGAACACTGTTCACCTTCTCGGGCACCATTCTTCTATAGACTTCTTCTTCCTCCTCCTCTCTGGTCCTGTGGCTTCCACCTTCTCTACTTTTTCATTTTCGATTGCCGTTTCAACTCTCAGCAGTGGCAATCTATTTTCTTCTCTTTGGCGGCAAGCTTCCTCCTTCAGGGGCGAGATTCCTCCTTCAGTTGCAATCTATTTTCTTCTCTTTGGTGGCGAGCTTCCTCTGCCTCTTCTTCCTCTTCTCTTGTCCCATAGTTTTTGCCTTTGCATTTTCGTTTTCAATCACTGTTGCAACTCCCAGCAGTAGCAATTTATTTTCTCCTTTCCGGTGGCAAGCTTCCTCCTTTGGTGGTGAGCTTCTTCATTGACCTGTCTTCCTGCCACCGCTGTTGCAACTCTTGACAGTGGCGATCCTGTCTTTAACCATGGCTCTGCAACTCTTGGGCGTTTGATTTCTTGACCAACTTTTGGCTCTCTCTCTCTCTCTCCCCCCTCTCTTGACCACTATTGTTGTCTAACCCATTCTTTGCATCTGCAACTAATGTAAAATAGAACATGCTACAACTGATGTAAAATTAATTATTAATTATTTTAGTTTCTATTAATTATTAAATGTTTTAATAGTTGTTTAGATATTAATTTGCTAATTATTAAATATTTTATTCTTATTTTAATAAATAACATATTAATAATTTGCTAATTATTAAATATCCTAATAATTTATTTTTAATTTATAAGTTTATATGTATTTTTCAATTTTATTCTTATTTTAATAAATTATTATTTTTTTTTATAAATTACTCATATCTTTTAAATTATTTTGAATTTAACAAATTATTTTTTATGAAATAATGCAAATTGAACTCAAAATTACCAAACAGTCTGTTTTAGGGGTAAAATAATAAAACCAAGGAATTTCAGATATGAAGGGTTGATTTAACACAAACAACTTTATGTATTCAGAGTAGAAAAGCATTTATGTTTCTTTTTCGGATTTCAGACATTTTTTATATCTTTTTAACTCTTTACATTTATCAAACGCTACCCAATTGCAAGTTGGCAACAAAGCAGAGGAAACAAAGGAGCAAGGACTACAAGAAGACAGCGCAACCTAAAAGCAACACAAAAGCCAAAAAAGCAGACCAAAAGAGCCAACCAGGCCCATCAACCACGGGCCCACAAAATGTCAAAAACCATCCATACAAAGCCAATTCAACGCCCAATCAAGCTGGTTGTCCACGCACCCTCCATCCAAACCTTTCTCGGTCACAGTGGGTTACTTGATTCCCTTCTCGACCGACCAGTAAAAGAGAATTGAAAATGCCCGCTATTCTTGAAAGCTGTAAAATGTCTGTAGTAGTAAACCAACTTTCCCCATCACAAAGATTATCCGATTACGATAAACATTTTATCAAACTTTTACAATATCCTACTATTGTGACCCTATCTGCCGGGGCGTTCCCGAAAGGCATCATGTTGATGCTTACAGTGTAGTAGTGACATATGGGCTTTTATGTATAGGCTTCTGGCTTTGTACGGTAGGCATTACTTACAAGGAAAGCCTAGAAACTATGGTGAAAAACCCAGGAAATCCAAATATATTTTCATTCACCTCAAATTTTGAAGAATCATCGACTGTTCTCTTTGAGGTTGAGCATGAACCCATGAACCTCTGCTCTCTTATTATAAAAAGCTTGATTAAGGGCCCGTTTGGCACATTTTTCTGCGTGGTCTTTCGGATGTTTACAAGTCAAGAAGACTGAAAATCGGTCTATTTTCATTTGACATGTGGAAGATTTAGCCCCAAAAGACGGAACGCCGAAAAGACGCAAGAAGCCCATTTTAGGCTGATTTTGGGAAGCTCCAAACAAGGTTCAAAGTATCGACACGTATTGACCCGTATTGGCTGATACATATTGTTTCGGGACCCCTCCGATACGCCCCTACAGTGGGTGTATCGGGGGTCTGACCGGTTCAGGGTGTAGAGGAGGCCTAAACCGGCTCCCCTGAACCAGTTGCGAAAAAAAATAAAAAAAAAGAGCACCAAAAGTTTTATTGATTCACCCGATACACCCATACTGACATATCGGGAACATTGGCTCCAAATGAAGTTTCTTGCATCTTTTACATTTTAATCTTGCACGGAAACCCAAAACGACGCACGAAAATATGCACATTTGCTAAACGGTCTTCAAACTCAATATGTTTTTTGATTGTTAGAACTACAAGAAGATCTTCTAAAAAAATTTGTCGAACGGGCCTAATTTTCTTTGAGTTGATCTAGGAATACCACAAACTGAATTTTGATCGGGTCAGATATGTTATTCTCCAGCTCGGAGTCCCGTGCACAGGACGCAGGTGTCAATGTCTTCTACAGAGCCCTCGTACATTTGAAAGCATCTTCGGAGTATCTCCTGTCAAAATATTAACAAAATAATATTTGGTGACCGACACTCTTACATGGTTTTAATTTAATTGAATAAGACTTTGGAAGCTGGAATATCGCATCAAATCCTTTTGGCATCAAACTTGAGACAAGGAGCATTGTACAGGAGGACTGTACAATGTCATTGTCATTTCTGATGGGGTTGACTCTGTGGACCTACCATTGTCCATTATATTGTTAGTTTCTTATTTGTTCTCATTTTTTAATTATGGGAATATTTGGTGTAGCGGCGTTGCATTTCCATATTGTTTTGGGCTCATCAATATAAATTTATGAGAAATATGTGTTGCTACAAATGTCATTTCAACTAAAAAAGTAAAATTTAATGTTTTAGACAGAAATAGTAATTTGTTTTGATAAAATCAAAACGCAACCATATTTTGATGAGAACCCCCTGTACAAGAGGGGGTTATTTGTTGTTGGATTGGAATCTACTTCACTACCTATATGCCACCCTGTATTATCTTTGACACCAAATATCCCCCCTCCTCCCAACTCCCAAGCTCCCCTGATGAGTGAACAAGTTCATTTGGAAACCATCCTCTACAAGTCATCTATAGTGAGGAACTTAGGATCGTTTGTTCTAATATAATCTGAGTATATATGAGATTCATGGGTGTTAAATCCCTCAAAAACCATCTAATGTGGATAGAGATTTGAGAGCAGGCGAATACTGAGATATTATCAAACAGGACAAATCAGTAGCTTGGATGGTCATTCGATATCCCTCCAAATATGAAGATGTGGGATTAACCCCATAAATGCATATTTTCTATGTTAGAATCAATGGACCTTATATGCACCCTACTCTTTATTCTCACCCCATAACCCTCCAGTAAAGTGTGATCTGTGATATTAAATAATAATAATAATAATAATAATAATAATAATAATAATAATAATAGGGCAAACCAATCATTCAACATGTTTCAATCAATTCTTTATAAAGAATTGATGTTTGAAAAGCATTTTTGCTGAAGACTTGTATATTAGTACTCTTTGTCCAACAGATTTCAATTTAAAATTTCAAATTTAGGGGAAATTATTAATAGGGAAAATTCCCGATTAGTACTCTGTACTTTAAGACTAGTGCCACTTTGGTCTTTGAACTTTAAAATGCGACAATTCAGTATCTGAGCGTCATCTAATTATCTTTATCAACCATCTAAATGTTGATTAAAAATGAACAGTATCAGATCCTTGCCTATTCAAGAAAGATGGGGTTTTTTCAAATGTCACTAAAAGGGCATTTGGAGCTGTTCATTTTTTATCAACGTTTGGATGGTTGATAAAGATAATTAGATGACACTAAAAGGACATTTGTGTTTTTTCAAATACCACTTAACGGCTGATTAATAGGCTAGCTAACGACAGATACTAGATCGACATGTTTTAATAGTTCAAGTACTAAATTATCACATTTTAAAATTTGAAAACAAAATGACACTAGGCCCAAAATACAGAGTACTAATTGAAAATTTTCCCTTATTAGATATCCTGGGTAGGAAATACTGTCCTTTTTGTTCCGTGGTTATACTTCAAATTTGTTGAAGTTATTATTTAGATTTTAGACTTCAAATAAACATTGTCATTCAGAATCAGAGTTGACTTTGATTGTCAGATATTTCATATCATTAATAAATTAAATTGA